TGGAGCTCAGGGACATCTCTATTGGTTCTCCCTTCCACTTGCCATGTCCACCTTCTTTATGAATCATATATTTCCATGATGGCATCCTTTATGTTATTTCTCTTATGTAATTTTTGGTTGGCAATGGGTTGGATTGTACTCATGCCTACCATACATCTCTCCACTGCCATTTAAGTGATCTTTAACCTCAAATCTTTGGAAACTGTGGTATTACATGACTCTTCACCATACAGATCTGGATAATTTAACCAAAATAAACAGTCCAAAATTGTTAGCAAAGAGACACTCCGTGCCCTACAATAACAAAAACAAGAAGAGGATCTAATCTTTGTTCCCTGCCCAAACCCCTTCCCAACCAGTTGTAGCTGTTGAATGTTAAATTAAACAATGACATACATATTGGAAAGGAGACTGGGGGAAAAATACAATTGATGTGAGATTAAAGGATTTTTGCATGTAAACTTGCCATGTACCAAGGAAAAACGTCCAGCTGTTTCAACATAACATTGGCATTATGACAGTGATTTTGATTAAGATGCTATAGTTTGATAGTAATTGTTCTTGACTAGTTATCTGAGACTCTAGCCTGCCTTTCCAGGTTAGAGAAATTTCTCCTATCATTGAGAAGTAGTAGCTATCTGATGACATACATTCTGTCTGTGCAGGGTTCTAACATCTCCAAGAGCCCAGACTTATAGTAGAGTAACACAATTCTTGAGAAAGTGTTAAAGCCATCAAAGGAACATCCCTACCTGAAACCACAAGATGCTGTCGCTTGGGATCCCTGGGCCCTATAGCTTGGGTTTGGGGGATCTGAGCCCTTCTGCTGACTATCTAGGAGTGTAGGAACTGGCCTCTACTGACACCATTTCCTCACTTCCCTTTGTTTTCTCCCTAGAACCTGGAATGGTAGAAGCATCATTTCCCTTCCCATGGGTTGCCTCTGGTCTGATGGATTACTTCTCCCTTTGTCCTTTTTCCTAATAATTTCAAGGTATCATTTGTAAAGCTCAAGTTTGAAAAAGGGGTTTTCTTATAAAGAACAACAATTTAAAGACATGAAGTGAAGGGAGGGGAGTTGCAATAAATATTTGAAATGGGCAAAGAAAATACTGTATAGTAGAGTATTCTTGTGGTTTCATTCTGACCCTAAGCACCAGCTTTAAACTACCAGCTACAACTACTAGCTAGCATTTATATATACCTATAATACTGACAAAGCATTTTACATATGTCAGGTAGGTGCTATTATAATTCCCATTTTACAGATGAGGAAACTGAGTCTGGAAGAAGTTAAATGATTTGCCCTGAAATACACATTTACCAAGTCCTGCACTCTATCCACTACTCCACCTAACTGCCTACAAAGGTCCCTTGAGATCAGTAAGCCTCTTCTTATTTCCTTCTGGTCTTACTTCTTACTCAGTCTTAGCCAGTCAGGCAATAAACATTTTTAAAAACACCTATTGTGTGTCACCCACCTGGGTTAATTGCTGCGATACGAAGAAAATCAAAAGAAAGCCCCTGATCTCAAGGAACTCACAGTCCAATGGGGGAGCCAATGAGGAAACAGCTACTTACAAACAAGCTATATACAAGATAAATTGGAGAAAAGCAACAGAGGGAAGGCATGAGAATTAAAGAGGGAACAACAAGAAAGGCTTTACCTTATTATTAACTTAATTCTCACTCTTCTTGGTTTAGATGACTCAAAAAACTCTCTAACCTTGCTTCCCCCAATTTATTATTAGAATGGAAACCCAAGTCCTGAAAACAATAGCTCTTTCCTAAAGTCTGTCCAGTTTTGTCATTCATGGGATACTTTTTCTAGAATCTGACTGTGGACCTAGAGAAACTCTTTTCTCATCCACCTGGTCCCAAGACCTCAAAGTAGTTTCTTTCTTGAGTTTCAGTATTGTGTCTCTCTCACTCATACTGAAATCTCTAGGAATTTACTTTCTAACTCTCACTTTGGTCCATCTGTTTTGCCAAAAGCCAATTTGAGGAGCCTGGTCTTTGTGGAAGACATTCCCAAGCTCTGTGGTCTGCCCCACCATCTTCCCTGTTAACTGCATGGTCTCTCATTCCAGGCTCAATTTTACTCCCCTTCTAACTCAATGAACACTTGTTTCTCTTGCCTAATTCCCTACTTACTCCTAGGATGAGTTGACAAACAAAACTTGGAGTCAGTGGGCATTGGGCACTTATCATAGAATCCTACATTTAGAAAAGACAGAATTCCCCAACCAAAAATATTTCAACCTTTGACATCATGTAGCCATCCTTTCCTCAGCATCTCTGACAGGTAGTCATCCAGTTTCCTCTTGAACCCTACCAGTGACGTGGAGTTGGAAATTTTGAGGGAGTCCATTCCATTATTGGATGACTTGGATTGCTAGAAAGTTTTTCCCTCCCTATGCTGATACAAAGTCTGATTTCCCATAGGTAAGCAAGATCAGGTGTCCAGAGCAATGCAAAGTAAATTTTATACTAGGATTATAGGATTTTTAGATCTGAAAGGGGCCTTAGATAAATTCATCTAATCCAACCCCCTTACATTATAGATGGAGAAATTGAGGCCAAATTCCTCAAGAAAGTCAAAATCCATAAAAATGTTGACAATCTAAAATAGGAGTCACCAAACTATGACCCTGGGGCCAAATTCGGTTGGTCTACTTTTTTTGGGGGGGGGCCTGCAGAAGCTAAGAATGGTCTTTACATCTTTAAATAAAGTTTTATTACATTTTAAAATGGGAAAACCTGCAGTTCCTTACAAAAACAGGCAACCAACTGCATGTTGGTATGCCTGGTCTAAAACACTGGGCAAATTCTCATACAGTAATATTTAATAGGGAAGTCCACACTTGGATTTTTAAAAAGAAGTGATTTTGCATAAACAAAATGGAGAAGCTATGGTAATATAGCGGTTTGTTTGAAAAAGATCTTGGAGTTTTGGTGGATTGTGAACTCCATCTGAATCAAAAATGAAATTGTTATTGTAGTTGTTCCAATAGTATCTGACTCTCAGTGACTCCACTTGGGTTATTTTTTGTTTGTTTGTTTGTTTGTTTGTTTTTTTGGCAAAGATACTGAAATGGTTTGTCATTTCCTTCTCCTGTTCATTTTACAGATGAGGAACTGAGGCAAACAGGGTTAAGTGACTTACCCAGGGCCACCCAGTAAGTGTCGAGGTTGAATTTTAACTTCAGGTTCCCTCTTCCTTCTACCACACCTCTATAGTGACATAATAGCTCTCTTCAAGTTGCTGAAGGGATCATTTATGAAAGCAAAATCACACTTGTCCTATTAGGCCTCAGAGGGCAGAACTAGAGCAATGAAGTACAAATTTCAAAGAAGTAAATTTAAGACTTTGTCTAAAGAAAAACTTCTGAACACTTTAAAAAGCGTTTCCTGTCATTGGAAATCTTTCAGGCAGGCCAAATGTTCTCTTGTTGGGTATGTTATCGAAGTGTGCCGTGTGACCTCTGAGGTTCCTCCCATCTCTGAAATTCTGCAGTATTTGGTCAAGGTCATACAGATAGTCCACAGGAGATCTGAGATACAGACCCAGATCCTATAATTAGTTTTCCACAGTAGTACGTTCTCCGGTTTTCTCTCTTTCATATGTCCCTTCAAATATTTCAAGATAGCTATCATATCCTCTTTTTTTTCTCCAGGCTAAATAACCTGCTGTCCTTCAACAATTCTTTATTCAGCATAGTTTCCAGATCTCTTGCCATTCTAGTTATACTCCTCTGAATAGACACTAACTTGTTAATGTAATACCATGGAATTATAAGAAAATAGATTGAGAGTTGGAAGAGAAAAAAATCCATCCAGTTCAACCTATTCCTTTTCCAGATTAGGAAACTGAGACCCAGAGAGGTCGGGTGATGGGAGTGAATTAGAGATAGAATTTGAATCCAGGCCCTCTGCTGAGTAGCAAGGGCTATGCCATGCTGCCTACTTCTCAATGTCCTTTCCTCTGCCTGTCTATCTCTCACCATCCTGATCCCAGACTCTGCTTTGACCACTGCACCGACTCCCAGGTCTCACCCATTTCTGGACTTGTCCAAAGCCCAAACTCTTGCCTGTGCGTCAGTTTTCCCTATGGGAGAATTGTTTTTTGTCTGGATTCTCCATGCTGTCTTTATTTCCATGCTTCCATTTAGAAATCTGTTCCTGATACCTCAGTAGATTTTCCAAATCCTCCTCAAAGCCAGGTAAAACTATATGGTTTGATCTGTGCTATTTGTCCCAAAGACTTTTTTGTTTTCTCTCTGACTGATATTTAAGTCATTAAAGTTACCTAGGGGTTAGGAAACACAGTTTACGCATTGACTCCAGAAAGCTTCAGATACAATGCTGACTTCTAAACACCCCGCTAGCATTTTTCCATTAGCAGATTATAGAGATTAGTTTAGAAGATTAGAAAGTTGACACCCTAAACCCTAAAGGGATGAACTAGAGAATGATAATGAGAGCCCGCCAGATGAAAGACTATGGGGATGAAAGGACAAGTTAGGGAGAGTTTGCTCAGCCTGGGAGCCATCACGGAAAAGGACTGGACACCTGGTTTCCCAAGGAGGGATTTTAGTGATAAATTCACCTTAACAGTGTAAGGAATTGTTATCTTGCTCCACAAAGGAAAGTGGGGGTGGAGAGAAGGCAGGAAACCGAAAATGGGAATAAGCAACTCACAGACTTTGGGATATTTTGCTTGAACAGCAGAGGAAAAACTCCAGGGCTTTGTGGCAGTTGAGTACAGATCCCCTTTAACAGAGAATACCAGTACTTTGCCTCTAGCAAATAAAGCAATACTGTTTTGCTCAGATCTTCTGTTCCCTCTCTGTCTGGAGCAGCAGTAGCAGCAACAGCAGCAGCTGTATCTGCACAAACTGACTCTGCTCCCTAGCCAGCAATTTACTGCAAAGCTACTGATTGGCCAGACCACCAACAGAGGGCTGGGACAGAACTTCTATATATTCCTAAAGGAGGCAAAGGCAGCCTCAGACCGTGCTGAAGTTGAGTTCGGACAGTTCCACCGTCCTGTTCACAGTTTGAGCTCAAAAGCCAGGAAGTCAAAATGTGCAAGGGACTAGCAGCTCTGCCCCACTCCTGCCTGGAAAGGTGAGAACTTGAGTTTTTTGGCTTCAGAGGCTGGCCCAGTCAGTGCCTAAGGGTAGACAGGATCCCTAGGTGCAGCTGGGTGATTTGATGCTTAAGCAGCAGTATAATTTGTGCCTGACTCAAAGCCACAATAAACTCTAGCATTCTCTTTTTGGAGCTAATGCCAACATGGACTTTAGCAGAGGGTTTTGAAGGAGAAGAGGAAATGGGAAATAACATTATCTCTGAGTTGGGGAGCTAGTAGATTTGAGAACACAGATCTCAAAGCTGGAAGGGATCACCTAGTCCAACCCTCTTGTTTTACAGATAAGGAAACCAAGGCCTAAAGTTCAACAGCTAGAAAGTGTCAGAGGGAGGCTTGAGTCAGTTTTTTCCTACTGTACCAAACTGCTGCCTTTAGTAAATCCCAGTTTTTATATTTGGTAGCTGAGGGATCTTGGACAAGTCACAGTCTGTCTTCATCTCAGCTGCCTCATTTGGGTTTCACATAAAGGAAAACTTCTTAACAAATAGAACTTACCCAACATGCGATGAATGGGAGAGTGGGGTTCCCTTACTCTCATTTAGGTTTGACATAAGGGCAAACTTGTTAACAAGTTGAGCTTATTCAAGTTAAATGGGAAAAGGTGGGATTCCCTCTCACTAGAGGTCTTCAAAGAAAGACTGAATGACCACATGTTACGGATGATGGGAAATGGATTCTTAGTCAATTACAGGTTGGATTAGCTGGCTACTGGAGTAACTTTAAACTCTAAAAACCTCTGGCTGTTATCTGTAAAATCTAGCCTTCATTGGGTCAGTATGAAAAAAGTGCTATATAAAGGTGGTGTCATGGTCTTCCCTACAGAGTTGTTGTGAAGATCAAATAAGATAATGGGTACTGTTCTTTGTACCCATAAAACCTTTACAAACTGGAGTTATTCTCCTTAAAGAGGGAAGTTGTCTCTTCTGAGAAAGGGAAGTCGTCTCAAGGTGAGTGGTGTTTGCTACACCATTAAAAAAAAAAAGCACAGAGGAAATCCTTCTCTAAAGGAAATCCAATAGAAGCTGGACGTCCCACTCTTGATGCTGACTTTAAAACAGAAGAGGCCAGAAAGGCAGCTTTGTAATGATCGGACCCTCCATCTAGACCTTCAGAGGATTAGTGATCACTCTTAGATAGCATCAGCTACTGAAGTAGCCTTTTGTCTAGCTAGGTAGATATGATTATTTACTTAACTGTCATACTTTCTTACGTAAAAGCAGCCACTTACCCCTCCAGCCTTACTTGGGGCTTTGCCAGTACAACCTTCAGATAGGGAATGTCATGAATTTGCAGTACACAGATTTTATCGAAAAGCAGGAATTTGACATTGAACTTGTAGAAATTTTAATCCAATAGTCCTATCTGCCCCCAAGAAGCTGTGATATGTTGATGCACTTTTCCCTCCTTACTGTTCCTTAATTTTGCTTTTGAAAAAGTTGCTATTTCCAATTGCTTATAGAAAATGATATGTGATCTTGACATAATTTAACGATAACCATAAATTCCTTGACCATGTCTATACAATATTATATAAGGGTATAAATGACTGATAGACATTAAGTACTTGAAGTTATTAAATCATTTGTATATATTATTATATTATTAAATTGATATTATAATTTAAATTGTTAAATGCTTCATAGACATCTGTTAGTTCTTTCCGTTCCAAGAGTTTAACTTTGCCTTTTAAATTACTTCTCTCTCAGCAATATTATAATCACTTAAACTGATAAAATAATTTGAGTGGTAGCTTGATATAAATAGGATGCTGGACATGAAGTCAAAAAGATCTGTATCTGAATCCTTCTGACACTCCCTAGCTGTGTGACCAAAGATAAGACATCTAACTTCTCCATCCTCAGACAACTCCCTGAGACTTACCTGAAAATTATAGATAAATTGTGTCAAGGTACAATTTGAAGTCAAGGGAGTTTCCACACTGATGAAATTGTTAGTCCTTGATGAATTGATAGAATAATGGATCAGTTTATTTCCAGGCCAACTTAGTCACTTCTCCAATCTTTAAAATGAGATTTATCAAGGTTCCAACATATATTCTGATATGTTTTGATACTTGTGATCCAAATTGTAATATTATTTGATATTTAAATTATTAATAAAAAAACCCATTACGTAGTACTTATGTGCCCTTTCTTAAATGAGCAAGAGGTAGCAATTAAACCTTGTGAATTACTGAGGTAAGCTTGGACTAAGGAGATCGTGGTTCTAATCCTGGCTAACTAACATTATCAACCCTTACCTCTATAACAGAGATAATTAGAGCAACTTTTTGCACCTAGTGTTGGTGGTATTGCTTTCTTAAACTGGTGGACAGCTTTACGCAAGCACGTAGGGATTAATTTCTAGGTTGAAAGTGTCTATGCTAATATATTTATTACATTAAGACTATATAAATTTCTGCCTTCATTGATTCAGGTCCTAGGATCAAGTCTTAGAGGTAGAAGGGACCTTGGACATCATCTAGTTCAACTTTCTAGTTTTATAGATGAGAAACTCTAAGACCTGAAAAGTAAAGGTGATATACTGAGGTTCCATAAGGAGTAGAGTTGGGATTTGAACACAGTTCCTCCAATTCCAAATTCACTACAGAATAACTTTAAATAACTATTCTCCTTTGCCCTTGTGATGAAGGTGGTGATTCTGAAGAAAGCTGTACTTGCAATCTGACCACATCTGAGATCTTATCTCTGACTCTAGCCTGTGTGGCAAACTCTCAGTTTCCTAAAACACAAAATGGGGATAATCACACCTAAGGTTACTACCTCACAGGCTTCTTGCTTAGGAAACCATTTGGCAAATTGCAGCTATCATTTTTATTCCTTTTATAAAATCCGATAGGTGTTTTTTTGTGACATAAAAAGGATATAACTAGAATTTACAAATAAATATATAATGTGTGTTATATTAATTATATTATATAAATAAATACACTCTTTGGACCTCAGTTTACAAAACAGGGACTCTGTAAAATGAAGGCATTGTGTGAGGTTTTAGATTTAAGGTTTAGATTCCTTTTCAGCTGTAATCACAGGAAAAAACACACTTGTTGCAAAGGAGCAGGACATGCGGAGTGAGGAACAAATAGGGGGTATGAGTTTTAAGTTTAAATTGTGGTCCTTTGATATGCTAGCTGAGTGAATCACTTAACCCTGTTTGCCTCAGTTTCCTCATCTGTAAAATGAGTTATATCATTGCTAAGAAAACCCAAATAGGGTCATGAAGAGTCAGACAGGACTAAACGACAACAAGGAACCAAAGGAATGAATGTCAGAAAGAATTTGAAGTTGGAAAAGCCTGGGTTTGGAAACCAGCTTCTAACAATTTATTCTCTCAAGTCTTAAGCTGCAGAAGAATTGCTAGTTGATGTCGGCAGAGGAGTTATCATGGCCTTCCCTCCTGACCCCAACCCCTGCCAAAATTAAAAAGAAAGAAAGAAAGAAAGAAAGAAAGAAAGAAAGAGAAAGACAGAAGGAAGGAAAGAAGGAAAGAAAGAGGGAGAAAGAAAGATGGAAAGAGAGAAAAAGAAAGAAAGAAAGAAAGAAAGAAAGAAAGAAAGAAAGAAAGAAAGAAAGAAAGAAAGAAAGAAAGAAAGAAAGAAAGAAAGAAAGAAAGGAAGGAAGGAAGGAAGGAAGGAAGGAAGGAAGGAAGGAAGGAAGGAAG